GTGAGGTGAGTACTGCGGAATTAGTAGAATATGAAATGCGGTGGGGTCGTGGTAGTTTGAAGTCAGGAGTCAACTACCGATTAATAGACTTTTTGTCGTATGAATATACGTTGCCCAGGGTGCACCACGTGGAGGTAAGTCTATCGCACACCCCGCAAGTGAAAATATAGTGATCAATTCAAATATTATTTGAATTTATTTGGTATTTTGCCTATTTGTAGGTAAATGAAGCACCACTTATCACCTTAAAAAAGTTTGGCTTAATGGTGAAATCAGCATTTATTTTCAATGGGGAGAAACATTTTATTGAGGTGAAATCACAATATGCGATTTGTTTCACCAACCGTATCGCGGGGCATATGATATAATTAATCGATGTTGAAACAGAATTAGTCCACACTGATCTTCAGTAATTTCAATTTCAAAGCGGCCACAAACCAAAAAGCGCGCCAAATAAAGTCAAATCTTGTTTAAAACAAAGCCAAAACACCTATTTATCACACACACACACAAGACTTAGTACGATAACAGAAAAAAATGTAGACACTTTGTGTGGCAAACACCTTCTCGCATCCTACTACGGTGCCACACTTCCGTTCATTCCTTAGATCAGCATCAGTCTTTGTTATGCCGTTAACTTGAAGTCTCCATTGTGCCTTGTTCTGATAAATTTATTTATATTTATTTATATCAAATGGCAGGCGTTTTGATAGTTATCATTAGCCCTGGAGCTGACTTCGGGGCTTCATGAAGAGGAGAAGGGACATCAAAGTAACAAAAAGTCGAGATGAGAGACAGAATAATGATTCACAGAGGTAAAAGAGACAGACAGACAGACAGAGAGGCATAAAAATGGTAAGATGAGTACTGTGGAAGGGGTCGAATATGAAAAATAGTCGGGCCATAGAAATTTGAAGTCAGAAGTCAACTGCCGATCAATAGACTTTTTTTGCCGTGTAAGTATACGTTGCCCAGGGTGTACCATGTGGAGGTAAGTCTATTGCACACCCCTTGTTCTGGTAAATAATCTTTTGCAT